CCCCCCCCGCACGCGCACAGATGAGACTGGTTATGGACATCGGATGCTGAAGTCCATGGGCTGGAACACCGGCGATGGTCTTGGACGTCAGCGCCAGGGCCTCACATCCCACATCAAGGTGACCATGCGCACGGATAACCGCGGTATGTTCGCAACGTGTTGATGCTTTCCCCCCCCCCCCCCCCCCCCCGCCTGCGGCTCGCTGCCCATCCATGCTGACTTGCCTACCTCCTACTGCCTGCCTTTCTCCCTCTCTCGCTTGCCCCTGGGCGCAGGCATCGGCGCGGACCGTAACACTGGCGACAACTGGCTGGAGAATGCCATGGCCTTCAATGATGTGTTGGCTGACCTGAACAGCGCTTTTGCCAACCCCTCGACCGAGGGCGAAGCGGCGTCCGAGCAGCCCGCCCCGGCTCGGTCGCAGACCCGGCGCAACCTGCTGTACCGGCGCTTTGTCCAGAGCAAGGACCTGTCCACCTACGAGAAGAAGGACATGGATGCCATCTTCGCTTCCAGCCGGATGTCCGTGACCAAGAAGAGCAAGAAGCGCGATGCCAATGGGGATTCCAACAACGAGGACTCCGGCAGCGGGCTGGGCTTCGGCGGAATGGGCCTGGGAGGTGGGTCGGATTCCGATGACTCGGACGACTCGGACTCTGAGACCCTCGGCGGGGTGAAGACCATCACCCAGTCGGTGTCGATGTTCGATTATTTCAAGCAGCGCGCCGCCGAGGCCGAGGGTCGTGCGGCTCCTGAGTCCCGGGCAAAGCGCGCCCGCTCCACCGATGATGAGAGTGACGACCAGCAGGAGACCGAGGCCCCTGAGGCCCCGGCCCCCAAGCGGTCGAAGTCCTCCTCTTCCTCTTCCTCCTCCTCTGCTGACAAGAAGCTGGCCAAGAAGGAGCAGAAGGCCGCTGCCAAGGCCGCTGCCAAGGCCGCTGCCAAGGCCGAGAGCAAGAAGCAGAAGAAGCAGGAGAAGGCCGAGAAGAAGCGTGACAAGCAGAAGCCCAAGACCAAGGACGCCGAGCGGGCCATCCGCAAGGCGGTCAAGTCGGCCATGCGTGCCAGCAAGAAGGGCTAGGTCGCGTACGTGTGTGCGTATGTGTGTGTGTGTGTGTGTGTCCTCCCCGGGGGCTGCCCCGCCAATCTGCGTGCCGCACGCCTCTCCCCCGCACTGCTCCCTGCCCAGCGCACCGGCGGAAAACCCGGTCCATAACCAATAAACATTTGAAATACCACAAACGAGGACCCCCCCCCCCCCCGCTTGCCAAGACGGTGTCTCCTCCG